CACAATGTTTATTATTGAAGGATTTTATATTAAAAAAAAAAAGAATGGCACAAATACAAAAATCACTCATTTTGCAAGCTTGTCTGTTTAACCTGTGGATTTGAAGTGGATTCACAATCACAATGTTTATGTCCGTGAACCAAAGCCAAGTATTTTTTTTTCTTTACTTTTTGCCTCTATGTGATTTGGCTGGTTTGTTAAGGATTCACTTGTCTTCTCGTCAGACTGATTACAAATTAAGAATTTAGTTTACTGATGTAACTCAGCTTCAAACAAAAACAACTCTAATACTTGGAACTTTTTAAGAATTAAACAGTTTCTTGTTAAGATTTTATTCAAGCTGAACCTTTTTCACATTATTTATTTTTGAGTGGAGCACAGAAATAAAATTAAATGGAGGAACATTTCTATTTAGCTCTGATAAAAAGCTTGGTTTCTCAGGCATGTCCATTATCACTGGGTGCACACCTAATCCCATTTGATTAGTATGCCAGAGAACAGGTTCTCCTGGTAAGACTCACATAACAAACAATATAGTGATAACTCCAGCACCAAACCCAGTGTTTCCAGGCACAACATCTGGCTGTGGGAGGAACAGGTTTGTGCGCTTCTCTAAGGTCTAAGATAGACTGTATGTACAGACAGCAGGTTCTTGTTTTCACCCTCTACGTGGCTATCACATCCTCCTCCATCTCCTCTTGCTCTGCGCCCCACACTTGGACACGCCCCTCCATAGCTGTGAGGAGACGGGTCTCTGTAGGGTGGAAGGACAGGGACTGGACGACTGCTTTCCCCACCGGCAGCTTCAACGACAAAGACCCCTGAAAGTAAAACAAGCAAAAATGTTAGTTTGGATGCTAGACTGTATGCTTTTAGTAAAGAAGTTTTGTGCGGGTTTGACAAATACCTCCACTATTCATTATTCTGTCACAAAAATCACACAGGTTCTACATGATAATGATCTGCTGGGGGTTTGCACTGAGAACGCTCTATTTCCACCCACTGTGGTTCTGACTAACTCTTGCATTTCACCTATTATTTGAACAAGACATGCAATGTTTTTCATGTATTAAACGTTTCTGACTGATTCTGAACTTGTAAGACGACATTTTTAGACCATTGTTTGCCATCATTTTCTGTGAAAATCCAAAAGATGTGTTTCTTATTCAGTACTTCAGTGCTTCAATCCATCCCTGTGCTCTCATTTCCAAAAGTGGGCAACATTTTGGTGGCAATCAGATTGGCAAGTTAGCTGAGATTAGCCAGCCTGCTGCTAAATTTATAATCCCAAAATATATCTGCATTAGCAGTAAGGCTAAAATAAGACACTTGGATGACCAAGTGGGAACTTAACCATCACTGGAAATGTACAGTCAGGATTAGCAAGGCTAGTTGTGCATATTAAGTCCACCTCTACGCAGTCTTTTTCCAGTAAAAAGTTAGCATACCAGCTAAAAAAATATTTTTCTCGAGCCTTAAAACTCACAGAGCTGATCTGGTAACTTAGCGGGCTATTTTGAAATTCAATTCATCAGCTAATGCTACAAGCTAACCATCACTAGATTTGTGTAGCAAAGCTAGTTTACACTCTGTATCTTGCCTGCTTAAGATATCATTTATAAAATGAGACATGTGTCTGGAAATGCTACTTGATTATCTTCCCTGATTACTACACCTAACTGTGATACTAACAAATGATTACAGATGTAAAACCACATTGATGCAAAAGTGACTGACAGAATGCAGATGTTGTTCACTTCATTTAATAACAGTTGTTTTCTGCAGAGGCCCTTTAAGTACCCTTTGAAAATCAAATTCATAGTTACCTCCACCAGGTCCCAGCAGTAAACGTGTCCGTCCTCTGAGCAGCTCAGGACGTGCGTGTCTTTACTGGACAGGCAGCAATCCAATTTGTACCCCTTCATCTTGTGTCCGGTATACCTATAAAAACAAGTATATGATAAAAACATGAGTTAAAAAACTTATTTACATCAGTAAACCGTACCATTTAGAATCTTGTAACGATTCACTATAATTTAACTGCGCTCTGTGGGAAATTTCTAAATTTCATTTTATGTCATTTGGACCTGAAGTTATGTTAAATGTTGGGGTATCTCGAGTGATGTCATTCGGACATTACTCAAGAGCACAACCAACGGTCGCAAGGGACAAATGTATGTTCTCTGACAAGCTGATGGCTGGTTGCTGGCTGCTGCTGAGCGAAACTTGTTGCAAAGAAAATATTGCAACCAGTCAGCTTGTCAGGGAACAAGTCTTCAGATTTCAGTTAGTAACAAAAAGGTAACAAAAAAAAACAATACTTCTTGTATTGCTTTTACTTTATGAAGCCATAGTGGCAGCACATCACACTGTTAGTGAAAACAATCAGCACTCACTCTCCCAGCATTTCACCGGTGCTCTTGTCTAGAAGTCTGAGTGTTGAATCCAAGCTGGAGCTCAGGGTGCACTGACCATCTTGACTGAAACACACACAGGTAATAGGACCTGGAACGCAAGGATAAAAACACTTCAGTGGTTTTATATTTTCAGTGAAACTGTTTTGCTACAAAAATCAGTATGTAACAGTAATATCTGCTGAGATTAAACTGTGTAAAAGTTTAATCTCAGCAGAGATTAGACAGTTAGAAAACTAACTGCTGATGAAGTCAACATGTAGCTGTCCCATTCTCAGGTCGTAGCGCCTCACTCTGCCGTCCACCGACCTAAAACACAAGATCATTATTATTATAAGCTGCCATAGCAAAAATGAACAAAACAGTTAAATAAACGAATCAAATCTCTGTTTTTAAATTGTGAAACTTTTAACATGCAGGTTGTTTTTTTCAACTATGTCTGAAGTGCTGACCCGGTGAGCAGCTCGTGTTGTGCCACCTTGAGGCTGCTGATGCTGTCCCGAGCTTCGTCTAGAACCTGGATGGGCTCATATCTTCTGGATCTGGTGTCCCAGCACCGAACCGTCCCGTCTATGGACCCTGAATAACGAGAATACATAAAAATGAAATGCAGTAAATACAAATGTAATAGTTTACACATTTGCTAAGCAAATACAAGAAATACTAAAAATAGTTCCATTAAAGCATGGAAACTTTGATAACTGACTTTGACATAAAGCAGACACCGGTTAAAACATCCACATTCCATAAATAACTTAATGTCATTATGACTCACCAGACAATATGACTGTTGCCTCCTCATTAAACTGCACGCAGTTAACTTTCTGCAAAGGAAAATTTGAAAAGGAGACAGACAGTAAAAATATTACATAAAACAAGTACACAGGCACAAACAACAGTGCAGCCGCCATGAAAACACGCAGATGTTTTTCCAAATGAAATACCACGACGCCCAAAGTGAAACAGAGCTAAAAAGAGAAGGACCCACCCCGGCATGACCCCTGAGTTTGCGTGTGACCTGGCCAGTGGCAACGTCCCACAGAATCACCGTCTTATCTGAGCTACATGAGCAAATCTGGCTGTTGTCGTAGGACCTGTGCAAAGAGCCAACGAGAAAAGGTCACAAGAAAAATTTATATTACTTCTGATCCTATATTCCTGAGACTAAAACCCTGTGGACAACCCCATGGTAATTCTCTCACCCATCAGCATCCAAAACCTCATATCCATGACCACTGTACGTCTTCAACAAGGTGCCTCGGCTCGTACTCCACAGTTTTAAAGACTTGTCACTGCCACAAGACAGCAGGTAGTTCCCATCAACTTAAAAGACATGGCACAGAGACAAGCTGATATAAGTGGATAAATAGAGCTTTAAATAGAGGAATAGAGCTTACATACTTTGAACTAATGAAATAAAGAACATATTCTATTGAGTTGAACTGAACTTGTAATATTTTATTATGTATATATACATTACAACCAGATTTAGCAAGTGAGTCTGTTCAGTCTGTTCAGCCAGCAGCTGAACAGCCTCAATTTGAGGATATTTTTTGGGGGGGGCTTTTTCTTACTGTTGAAGCGAACAGCCCTGACAGCTCCTTGCTGACAGTCTATGGTCCTGAGAAGATGTTGAGGAAGTTGAGGAGCCTGAGGTCTGGGCTGAGGAAATGCCATCACTTAACCTCTGTTTAAAACACACACACACACACAACCATTTTAGCTACCCACATTAACATCTCCTTCTAAAATGAAAGTCAGAAGCAAGACAGAATACATGTGTATGGATGGGAGAGAGGCGGGTGTTATGGTGATGATGCAAAGAGTAGTAGTGGCACTGCAATACTGGGGGAGATTAGAATTAGATTAGATCAGAGAGACAGCTCAGGTTGAGCAGTTTGGAGACAAAGTCAAAGAGCCAAAGCTGAGGTGGTTTAGACCATAGTATTGAACAAAGGATGTGGAGGTGCCAGGTGTGAGGAAAAGACGAAGACCACAGAGAAGACAAACTGATGATATGAAGGACATGCTGTGGCGATCCCAAACTGTTCCGAAAATAGTAGTCTGCTGTAGATTTAAGACAAGAGGTTTACGCGGCTACAAAAATTTAAGCTAGTTACGAGTATGATATTACGGAGTATATGATATTCATACAGAAAGGACCAGTTGGTATGTAGTGCTTTCACAAAAGCACTACATACCAACAGAAGTATTTAAACTATTTAAGTTACATCACGGATACATTTTGGCAATTTCTCCTTATTCCATGAATGACTTAAAAGACCTCTTGACTAAACGCAGTCAACTTTATTTACTTCTATGTAACTTATTTCGCTCACTTACTTTTACCAAGACACAGTTTCAGGGACGTGCCATGTTTGCATTCTTGATTAAAAGCAACGCTTCTGCTCAGTTTGTAGCTACAACCGGCTCCTTTAAATCATTTCTTCCATGTTTGTAGCACAGACACGCAATGCATCATGGGAACACTTATTCCCGTCAAAATAAAAGCTCAAATAGCATTTACCGCTTTAATATTGGCCTATGGATTGAGTTAAGCTTTTATTGTTAAATACACCGGAAACGACTCTCTCTGTCGACTCCTTTCCTGAAGTGGCTGGTCAGCTGTCTGTCGGTTTTCGGTGTTTAAACTTATTTTCATTTGCTTACTGTAGGAAGACCTTGAAACATACTATGTCATCCAACAATATGGCAGACCCGAGGAGGCAAAATAAAATCTTAAGGTGGGCGTTTAATTCAGTAAACACGTTTCTACGTTATAGAATAGAGCTAACAGCTAGCTAACCTATATCATTTATAATGAGTGAAGCCTGAAAGGATTAACTGGGCGAATTAGCTGTAGGACTTAATATATACTGCTCTTGGTTGTTTAATTTTTCCATTACACAAAGTCGTCGTAAAAAACCCAACCTGTTCCCATTTTGGTTTACCCGTTATTTACCATTGTGATTGTCATTGGGTCTCTTTTGAGTTAGCTGTCAGTCAGTAGCAGTTTTCATAAAGATGTACAATGGTTAACTAAGAAGTTGTTGTAGGGAAAATGATAACAGCTGCAAAACAAAAACAACTAGTACCAATAAATTAGGCAATAACTTGTAAAATGTGTGTTTATTTATATAAACTTAAGACCAGAGATTTTAACAGTGACCAAGGAACAGTAAGTTTCCCTTTTAGTTGTCTTTGGTTAAAATACGTTTGTGCTGTGACAGGTACAAACCTCCCAGCACAGAGACCAACCCGACACTGGAGGACCCCACACCTGACTACATGAACCTGCTCGGCATGATCTTCAGCATGTGTGGACTTATGCTCAAGGTGACCTACACACACACACACACCCACACCAAAACTCTGACTTCCATCTCCTTTGTTCTCTGCATGTTTGTGTGTCCACATAAACATGTGTTGCCCAGGAAGGATAAACTTTAGTCCCATTCATTCCATTTAGAAGATTAAAGGTAAACCTGCCTTTTTAGATGAAAGGATGAACAGCAGCTATTGACGTGACCACAAAGGACACGATGAGTGGGGGAAAAAAAGACGATGGAGCTGAAGTCATTCATTCAAGGTCCAAGGAGAACATTTTTATAACTGACTTTCTTTGATTCAAGTCAAAAAATTTCGAAAGAGCATTTTAAATTTTAGGCAAATGCTGGGAATTATTGCATTTGGTGTTTTAAAGATGGTGTACAAACAGTGGCAACACCTAAAAACGTACTCTCTTGCTGTTTTCACATTTGCACTTAAGCTCTGAACTATTGTACACATTACTCAAAGGATCCCTGTGTGAGAATGCAGCTTTCTGAATCAGTTGGAGCAGGCATTAAACACACTTTACTCTCTTCCAGCTCCTCAGTATATAAAACCTGTGGTCTTATTTTGAGCCCATGTGATTCATGTTCTTTCTGTTCCATTCTCTACTCAATACTGTAACTAAGGATTTAGTGATTTAGAGGCTTGTTTGAAAACAGATTTCAGGACCACCCTTGGCTTCAGACTAGATTTTTCCTGGAATGCTGTTATCCTATTTGGACAGAGGTCCAAATAGGATAACAGATGCTCAACACAGCATAACCCCCACACGGGTTATGCTGTGTTAAGCATCTCTGTATGCTTTCTGTGATACGAGCACTTCCAGACCACATAATTGTTCCTCATGTACTTCATGTACCAGTTAAGAGCAATTGAGGAGCTGTGCTGTTAGATGCCCCTCTATTTCTTTAGCAGATTTCAGCCTTGCAACTTCTTCACCTTTTTTTTAAAAAGGTGAAAAAGCTAATAAGCTCGTCAGAACATAAACACAGTCTAAAGCTGACTCATGTGTTTGTGTTTCAGCTTAAGTGGTGCGCATGGATTGCAGTCTACTGCTCGTTCATCAGCTTTGCAAACTCCCGAAGCTCAGAAGACACCAAACAGATGATGAGCAGCTTCATGTGAGTGTACCATCCCATCTGTGGATGCACTATAAAGACACTACGCAATGCATGTGTGGCAGTGCTTTGTATATTGTTTAATATTTATCAATGTTAAAGGCATTTGATATAAAATTAAAAATTTTTGGCTCGAACTGGAACAAACTTAAACTATTTTTGTTAGTTCTTAGTTATAATGGCAAGTAAAATGAACAAATGTTTAGATTATAGGAAAGGATTTTGCATTTTTGGAAATTGGAGTTTAGACCTATTGTCTTTCTGCAAAGTCCAGACATGCCAGCTTTAATGTCCAAAAGCTTCTAAATGTGTGACTCCTCTAGGAGGTATGTTTGCCTATAAAAGAGCACTACAGTAGGGCACCTGTCCAGGCTTCACAGACAGATTTGCAATGAGGAAAACCTTGTCCATTGTCTGAATGACGTCGTATTAAAAATGAACCTAATGCACTCAAAGATTAGTAATGCAAAATGTTTGGCTCTGCAAATAATGTCGGACGCCGAGTTAAAGGCACCAGCCTTGTGGGTGTAGAAGCTCGTTCAAGGCCAAATTTAGGACACTGGTATCCCTGTGTTATTAAACAACGCCAAGTGGCTATGCAGGATAAATGGACAGTGGAGGGCAAATATGACATTGAGGTTATCAGATGAAAATGGTCCCACGTGTGTGGGTGAATTTACACCATAGAAGCTTCAAAAGGTTCAGGCACAAATTCTACTCTTTGCTGTGCTCAACTGCAGTATTTCATAATACCCCAAGTATTCAGCAAAATAATACAATTAAAAGCAACAAGGGGTGTGTTTTTGTTTTGTAAGCAGTGTAACAATGAGTCATTTTAAAGAGCTCCCCTTTGCAGAAAAAGGTGCTACAAAGCAAAATTTTAACATGCCTTTAAAAACCTAAATTTCACAGTTTTCATGATGGTTTGATCCCATTTTCTGTGCTGTCTTCAGGCTGTCCATCTCAGCAGTTGTGATGTCGTACCTCCAGAACCCACAGCCAATGTCGCCGCCATGGTAACCAAGGGCCAATCTCAGGAGAGAGCAGAAGTTAATTGTGGATGCAGGAGTGGGTGACGGCACATCTGACTGAAACCCCCCGGCTATCTATGAGCATAAACAGAGATGAAGAAGAGCATAATGTAATAGAGAGAAAACAGACGAGCAGGAGAGGTAGACAGCAAGGACAGCTCTACGTCAAGATAGAAAGATAAAATATCTTGGACTTCTGTTATATCTTGGATTCTCTGTTTTTTCTGTTTTAAAACCTTTTCTAAGTCTTTTGCTTGTTCATGAACTGATGTTGTCAATAAAGTTGTACGGTTTTAAAAGGATCTGCTGGTTTTTATTACTCTGGAGGAAAAGTGTTAAGGATTTGCTTATATGACATTTAAATTGTTTACTTGGCCTTAAATAAATATTTCAACATACATCTCATTTTTGTGACGCTCGGGTACATTTGACAGGTCACAAAATAAATAACAGACTTTGACACCTCCTATCAAGTTAATCTCTCCCCTATTTACAGTTTGGTTTATTCCACAAAGCTTCACCATCATAGTGAATTATTCTAAGTCCTACTGAATCCTCCTGCGAATACTTGGATGTTACTGTATGTCAGTGTTTTGATGCGTGCTTAATCAACCAGGTATGCAAATCCCAGAAAGTTAATTCTGTACGTTTGGATGTAGAGTTTCCAGTGGGAGATACAAACGCTTCACCCAAAACTAAATCTGTCTGAACAGAGTCAACATTCTTGGATCTGCATGTCACTCACCATTTCCACAACTGCTGACCGCATCTGCTTTAAACTTGTCAGGTACACAAGTGTTTGTTTGCCTTTCTGAACTCTCAGCCCTCTTAACCAAAAGTCTAACCATCATCAATAAGTTCTAAAACCCATCATTAAGCTGTTGTTGGTCCCCAGATACTTCAAGGAATCCACCATCACTCCTGTCCCCAAGAAACCGGTGGATTCATGTCTTAAGGACTACCATCCTGCACCAGACAACACGAAGAACATGTCTGCTCTTCCATCCCTGACATGTTGGACCCTCTTCAATTTGCCTTACCAAAAGAACAGACCCATCAACGATGCCATCATGTTGGCAATATACACTGTGCTCACCCATCTGAACAAGGGGAATATGTATATAAGAATGCTCTTCACTGATTACAGCTCTGCATTCATCACCATCATTGCTCTGAAATTGCTTCCAAACATCAGAGGCGTTAAGGTTGAAAGGGTCAGCAACTTCAAGTTCCTTGACATGAACGCTACCAGACACTTTACAGACACTGTGGTCAGAAAGGCATGTCGTTGTTTAAACTTTCTAAGGAGGCTTAGGAAGTTTGGTATGAACCCCCAATATTTCCTCAACCTTCTACAAGAGCACAATCGAGAGCCTGTTGAAGGCCTGTGTGACAGGTTGGTATGGGAGTTGATTTGCCAACAGTCAGAAATCACTACAGAGTGGTGCAGGTGGCAGACAACATCACTGGCAAGTGATGTAGCCATTAAGGGCATTTATCTCCAGCCGAGTGTGCGTGAGACCCACAGCATTATCAAGTATCATAGTCACCCAACACATTAGGACTTTTTTAAATGTTATTTTTCTATGCTTTTTTCATGGTTTTTAAACTCACATTCCTATTTATCTGGTGACATTTTTAGATGCTGAGTGACTTGTTTTGTCTTGTCATACACATTTCATTATAACGTTGACCCAATGTTAACTTACATAGGACAAATAAAAATGAAACTGCAACTGAAAATATTATGGTAGATTACTACATTTTAGCACTCATACAATTATATTAAAAACTGGAATTCATGGAACAGTTATATTCCTCCCACCAGCAAATGCATTTGCACCCAAGTCTTATGTAAAATACACGTACAGACGTGTGTGACCAAAGAAATATGCTCACAATCGCACCTTCTCTTTATGAGGTATGGTGTTGAACAATTACCAAAAAATGTGCTAATGGTATTAAGGCTGCATTAATTTTTTTTAAATTATTGCCAAAAATATATTTTGTGATCTTTTGTGATCTTGACTTTTGAATTATTGGACTATTGGACCATACAATTCTAATCAGTCCTTCATAAACTGGAGAAAACTCCCCCGAGCCTCTTAAGACCTGTCACTTTACTATTAATAAGGCAGACAACCCAAAGGTATTCTCCTGCATATACATACATACATATATATATATATATATATATATATATGTGTGTGTGTGTGTGTGTGTGTGTGTGTATGTATGTATGTATGTTCGTTTGTTACCTTGGTTATGTTCTTGACAGCATCTTTTGAAGGAATTCTGATCAAGCTTTGTAGGGCTGTGGAGTCAATTCATTAACAATTCATTAAAATTATGATGATTTATTGGTCAAAAATGGACAAACAGCCTTATAATTCAGAATGTAGATTCTTGTGTGGTGTGTCAACATATAAAAGTACCATATAAAGATTTAAAATATCATGTCACAACTGACCTGTGACCTCTCCATCTATGTCAGTAGATTTATCTGAATCTCAAACTGATAATAATGCTATATAGAGCTGTTTAACACTATGTTTCTTACTGACATTGTTTGACAACATTTATGCATATAAGGAATGATATATGGAGATTCTAAATATCACATTACAGTTTGCATCTAAATATCATGTCAGATTTGACTTCTGATCTCACTTTTACATTTCACATCTGCCTTTCTTTCAAGTTGACCCCAAAATGTGTTACATCTTTAAAAAAGTATTGCCTCGTTAGTTAGAAACATACTTAAGTATCATTAAAAAATAAGCCCAAGTTATTCATGTCCACTTCTTTACAAATCAGTACCTTTTATCCATTACCCACTGCTACATAATGATTGTATATTTGAAGTAAACATCATTTACTGCACTATAAACTTGTTAAAGGAGGTTTTAAAAGAGTAAAGATACCCGAGAGTGAGCTGCCTTGGTCGAGGTTTGCACCATCTGTGTGCTTCTTGTTCAACTCAGTTTTCTTCCTCTGGTGATCCACAAATCTCCTACATTAACTCTCCTCTCCACAGTTTAGAAGCACTAGTTAAAACAGTCCACAGCTTATAAAGATCTTTTACGTTACCTCAGAGTGTACTTCAAAGTTTTCCGTTTCTGATTGTACAATTTTCCTTCTTTGTTGAGGAGCAGTAATCGCCTCCACACAAACACACACTCACCCTTTAGTCTTTGCTTCTCCAGTGTCTCATTCAGCAAGGGCACTGAGCACAACTCATGCAGACACCTACACTTTGTGTGCTGATGACAGACAAGAAGCTGGAGAGTCAGCTGGATGTGAGACTGATTTAGTGGCTTATAACTCACGTCCCCCCAGGCCTGGTTCCACCACAGCCATGCCAAGTGGGCACTTGAGCTGCTTGGCTTGCTGCCACATTTACAGCAGAATCCATTGGATTTTCCCCTGATTCTGTCCTGAGTCAAACTGCTAACTGAATTGTTTTTTGAAGCCCTTAAAGAGGCCAGTTTTGTAGTTTTTCCATTCCATCTGCTCCAGTCGTTTGTGATCCATGGGGAGGATATTGAATTTGGCTGAGTTAGCAGTTATCGTCAGCGCCCGATCAATGGGCTGCATAATTTGGATATTGAAAACTGCCACACTTAACTGAATGGAGATCTTAAGTTCATTGGATGACTGGCTGGAGGCAATTGTAATTAAATCTAATCTCACTGTTTTGCTCTGCCTCATCTGATCCGAGGACTGTAAAAAGACTGCTGGACAGGTGTGTGTCTAACACTAGAGGGCACAGTGGCATCACAAATGAATAAATCTCTGATGAAATAATAACACAAGTTTAGGTGAGTGTTATTAAATTCACAGTAACTTTATACATGAAATAGTTAAATATTTGCCATTTTCCCTAAAATGATTTAAAGATCAAATAACAGAATAATCACTATATTTTTTAATGACGCACAAAAATTGGAAGGTGGCCTACCCTGATTTTTTTTTACCACTGCAAAAAAAATTGTCTCACTATTATTATCATAAGAATAACACGTGGTCCATAAAATGACGTGTTGATGATGTTAAAATTTCTGCATGCCCTGCTGGACTGCTTTTATATCAGTGAGTCAGTACATTACCCTTTCTTCTGCTTAGTTAAGCAGCTATTCGCCTGACAAACACAGGAAGACATGAGCTAATCGTGCATTCCACCTTAGAAACCTGTGTCGTAATGCAGGTCATTTCCAATAACTGTTTGCTTTCAAGAATGAAGAATGTGAAGTAAATTGCAGGGAAAAGATTGGATGACTTCCAAAAGTATAAACAGCTCTAAAGTTATTAGTTGAATATACTTTGCCTGCATTTCTTTTCTCTATTACTGAAGGGCAAATTGTAACGATTATAGGGCGATGTGGAACCAGTCCGCTCTGCCAAAGTAAGTATTTCCTTAATCAGCTGAAGAAAACCCAGTGCTTAATTTGTCCTGAACACAGAGAGGTTGTTGGTAAAACAAATAGAGTGAAGAGAAAATGTTTGTGAATTTTGTTAAAATATTAGCGCTATATATGCTGAACAACGCAAAAGCAAAAAATGTGATCACATGTTGTCACAAGTTTTTCTGCACTTGCTGTGAGTGACAGCAAAATGCAGCAGGCAAGAGATCGTAAAGTGTCTTATGTTTGACTACAGTATGAGCCAGTTAATTATGTGCTGCTGGTGCTACCATGTTGACAAGTCCCAACTGAATGTGGTTTTTGAGCCCGTCATTTGCATGCTGCAGTTCCAACGTGCCATGCGGAGCCAAGACATAGACTCCAGACGTCACTGATACGTCTTCCAGCACATAAAAGACAATACTGACATGTTAACAAGGTTAAAGACTTGATTTTCAAATGGGATAATGGTTAAAATTTATCAACAGTTTACGACTGTATAAACCAATAAATAAGAAAGATTATGAAGTTTGAACAGTGCACACTCTCTTAATGACACGTAATGAGGGGCTACATTTAAAATTGGTCATTATTTACATATGTTGAATGATATGATTACAGCGGTAACATGAGGTGATAAAGTTAAGTAATATGAAGCCATCAAAGACTTGTGAGGGTAATTCTAACATTCCAACCTGGAATTTTACCCCTGACTGTCAGACTGTGTCCCTATTTGCCCGGTATATATTTATTTGCTGTATTAGATTGCATCCTTTGCAGATTCTATAGTGCAGCAGTCTCTGTACCACAGCCCATGTGAGCTGTGATCAGGCATTAAAGTGCATGTGTGTTAACGCGTGTAAAGCTCAGTGAAACCCCACTGAGACTCTGTTACT